ACTGGATTCAAGAACCGTTATTTGAGAATGATGCGGGCAGACGGCGGCGTCCGGTTCTCTGAGCAGAAAATCAGAATGAAAAGTGTTGGTGTCGTTGGTTCGGTCCGGTTTATGTTGTAGTGTCAAACCCAGATGATGATGCAACACTGTCAATCCAACACATGCTCTTATTCTCACCTGCATCACATGAACGCCTTTGAGCAGTGCTGTTGTTTCACGCTGAGCTTGGTGTCAGTCTGGCCACAAGAACCGAACGGTTCTGGTTCTGGTTCTGGTTCTGGTTCTGGAGCAGAGAGTCTGTGGTGGTGTTGGCTGGCTTCCTGTAGCTGCAGGCTTTTATTTCACTGTGGGGAAACACACAGGTTAGGGAGGCAGAATATAGCTGAGGATGGGCGTGAGGCAACATGATCTGAGAACACACACACACACACACACACACACACATCCCCCACCACTGGTACGTTGGCTCTGAGCAGCAGATGCATGTTTAAAAGCACCCATGCAGGGATGGCGCACATGTGAGTGCACGCATGGCTACACACCCACACACACACACACATACACGCACATACCCACACGTGCACTAATCCACGATCCGCCATAATCCACGGTGATATGTGCTGAAGGAATGACGTAACATGTGAACATCTCCCATCTGTGCTCGGCTCTTCCTGGAGGTTTGAAAGGAGCTGCTCTGCACTAGGACTGGGTTGAATTGTACTACAGTACAGTACAGTACAGTACAGTACAGTACAGTACACTTTAGTAAAGTATACTCTTGTACGATAGTCAACACTTACTATACAATAGTATAATGTGTTAAACTTGGTCTGAGAACAAAAATCCTCATTAAAATAAATCTTAGATTTGTATTATTTGAATGAAATCAAAGGTTAATCTGAACCCTACATCAGAGTGTCTTCTTGTTCTCTAACTGCCTGGACGTTCGTCCCAGGTCCAGGAGTAGAGTCTGATTCTGTGGGTGTGGCTGAGGCTCTCCCTGTTCTCTAGAGTTTTCTATAGTATGACTCACAAAGTGGGACAGACTTTAGTCACAGACTCCTGGGTCTCCCAGAGTTTGTTATAGGAGTCGGGGTGTAACACTTTCTTTAATTTATACAAACACAGCTCGTACGCCCTGAAGAAAACTTACCAATCCTGCAGTATCTAATTGATGGAATGGTGTATACATACATATATATATATATGTATGTATATGTAAATGTACAGTATGTCAATATATATTTATATATACATTAATGAGGTCATGTAGCTCCATACATTTAATAATCGAGGCACCATACAACGTAATTGTATCATTGCGTTACTGATGTGATGAAAAGTCTCTCATTGTGAACGATGCTCTCGTGGACGACCCCACATTTAATCACATGATGAAGGTGTTAACTGAATTATTCCATTTAATTCTGGTTCGTTTGCTGCCGGGTCTGTGCGTGCATGCAATACATCACGTCACATGACAAAAACATTCAGATGAAAAGAGAAAGGATGATTTTATGCCCTCACTCATCAAAGTGGGATCATTCCAACTAGTTCTCTGTCATCTCCTCTCCTAATTCCTGCATCATTACACTGTAATGGGATGATACGGGCGATACCTCGTGGGCATTATCAAGTCATTTGAGTATCAACTCCAGCTCTGGAGGAGAGTGATCGCTTCATTTGTCAAAGCCTAACATGCAGATGTCAGGGTGTCGGCTCTGGGAGGAGAAACTGATGATCAACACTGGTTGGACTGGTCTGACTGGACAGAGACGGAGCAGCCGCTGCTGTGAACACTAGACTCACCAGGCGTTAGGGTTTTAGTTCAATTCACCAAAACTAGTTAAGTGTTTAGTCATTCAACAGTCATTCGACCAGACATCCTGTCCAGAAACAGCTGTAATTGTATGAATCAAATGTGATAAATAGATGGTAAATCACGTGAACTCAAAATACATTTAAAAATACATTCATTTTATACCTTTATACCTGAATTTACATTTAAACAAAAAGCATTAGCTTTTCTGTCTAATGATTTTATTATTTATTATTATTTTTGTATTGTTAGTATTGCTGTCTTTTCATATATTCTATTTTTTCCAATAAAATCTTTGATTTAATGTTTAATTTGGGAACCTGCATGGTTTACCAGGTCAACATCTTCAAAGGTTACTTTTTAATGTCAGCATCAGACCTGGGTGTCTTCACTCCACACACCCTGGTACTCTGTATGCAGCACATGCGTCTGTGCAGCTTCTACATGTGACACAAAAGTAAGTTTGATCACTGAAGAGAGCAGTGGAGGCCACTCGGCTCTTTCTCTGCACTGCTGACTTGGATCAGAGCCAGGAGCAAAAACATTCTTCTTTCTAACACCCGTGACATGAAACATCTCCTGCATCATTTTTCTCCATTCAATATTGAAAGAGATGATAAAAAAGTTGACTTTAATCTGTTTTTTACCCTTTCAGGCTGTTGAATCACTGCTCTGTGGTTCACCAACCAAAACGTTGACAATCTGATCGGAACATCGACCGTGGCCAAAATGATAAACTCAAACCTGAAGGTTTAGTCCAATTTCAAATATGTATTCCAGAGATTTTCCTTGAAAAGTTTTATTCAACAGGCAAAAGAAACAAAAAACATTTTTTATTTTTTATTTAGTAACAATCAACACAACATTCATCAAACATTTGCAACACAAAAAAATATGTTAGGACCAGGTTTCTGAAGTACTTTAGGAAAATACTGATACTGTAAAATATCTCATTATGCAAAGAGAAAACCCTACATTATTAAAAAAAAAAAAGATTCTGTGGGCTGATTTATTTTGAGATTGACCAAAAGATATTGGAAACGTGTTCTGTGATCAGATAAGGCAGTGTTTTATGTTGCAGGAAAAAGGATGTGATTTAATCAGAGAGGGATAAAAATGACTGTTTGGACTGATGAATACACAGATAGAGTGATGACGGTATAGTACGCAGGGTAAAGTATTAAAAAGGTTGGTGTTGTGTATGGAGAGAGATACAGAACAGATGGTTGACAGGAGGGATAAAAATGACTGTTTGGACTGATGAATACACAGATAGAGTGATGGGTGTGAAAAAGGTTGGTGTTGTGTTTGAAGAGAGATACAGAACAGATGGTTGACAGGTGAAAAGAATGTGAATGGCTGAGGTCAAGAAGAAGTGTGACCAGAGGTAGAGAAGTAGAAGAGGAGCTGAGAGTTCAGGGAATCACGGAGGCCACTGGAACTCCCAGAGGGCTGTTGGATAGAACCTCTAACTGGGAGAGTGTGACTTCATGTCAGCAACAATGAGATGAGATATGTGGGCGCTGGAACCAGGAAGTTCATGAGCTTTTAAAGAAGTCAGCCTTGATACTCAAGGAGATGAAAATGGACAGAGTTCAAAAACCCTACTGCAGAGTGGAACATGTGAATGAACGTTGTGTGAAGAGATTCCTGGTTCTACTGGACGAGTCCTTGTTGAAACACTTGGTGTAACAGTAGCTGAGTCACAGGTGAACCTGAAAAGATCAGACAAGTTTGATACATGTTTACAGAATGTATGGAAAATCCATCTATCAGTGTAACACAACAGTAATCAATGACTGTGTTACTGTGTAACAACGGTCCAAACCCAGTACTGAACAATGTCTTTGACATAAAGTTTATAACTAAAGTACCTGAAATGTCCCATTTGCTTAACCAGATTTTTTGTTTCTCTGTGAGCATTTACAACCCCAGGGAATTGCCCCATGTCACTTATTTTAATAGTTTTAACAGAGAACAAATAAAGTGACCTGCTGCTCATAAATTCTCTCCGTCTTTAGCTGCTGCCTCAGTAAAGAGCTCAATGAGGGACCGTGAGCCAATCCCAGCGCAGATGTCTTATAAGACAGGATAAGAACGTGTCAAAAAGTCTGATTACATCAATCTTCTTCCTGGTTTGGCAGATTGGCTCCCCCCCCCCCCCACCCATCTCCATGACTTCTGTCAGGGGTCTTCCCCTTTTCCTCTCACCCTCTGTCCAAACCATCTCAACCTTTCCTCACTAACTATCAATGTCTCCTTATATTATTTCTACAAAAAAAAAAAAACCCTCCATCTGCTCACACTTAGAGAAGCTGTGACTTCATCGTGATTCTTCATTTTTAATCTAGATCATAAAAAGGCACCAACCATCAAATTCAGTTTCAGGAATTCTAAACTAAACGTACAGGATTCTAAACTCCCTGTAAGTAACTACCCTGATGCCTTTTTACCCACGTCCACAGTCTGAGACGGGGCTTCCCCTGAATTGTTTCCAACCAATCAAAGTGTCCTGAAACACTCTGTTTACTGCTTGGTCTGTCCACGTTCACAAATACAAGCCAGTTGTAATAATGTGTGTCGCAGCTCATTGACCCAAACGTGTCTCCGTGGTCGTCGGACTGCAGCCACATCGGGCTCTAAACACTGTAATTAATGTGAAGCAGCTGTCAGGTCTCCTGCACGGCAACTGTCTCTCATTCAACTTCTTCATCTTTCACTGCTTTTTAACCGTCACCATTCAGAACCGTCCAGAGAGAACTGCTGTTGTCCCACAGAGCCTCCCACTGTGGACCTAATGCCCACCTAATAACACATTCATATAGTCACTTTACAAAGCCTGATACTTGGATTGGATTTCTGTGTTAGAAATGTGCACGTTTGCCTGTATGTGGGTTAAGATTAAGATTCATATACATTTGACTGGACTTGTTTAATTTCTCTAACTCTGTCTTTGTCCATTTCAACAGCAGAGTGAAGACAGAAGTGTTGTACAGTCTGCTCTGAGACTAATGTGAAAATATGTTTGTTGTTGTTTCAGGCTGATCATTTTCTCACAGAAGAAGGAAACTGGAGAGGATACCAACAACCAGCGTTGACTTGGAGTGTGATTTTAAAGAAGTGTGAATGACTCACTAAAAAGCACAGTTTGATTGTGCTTGGCTCTGAACCGCACGGTTATCAGCCAACGTCTCCTTTCTTTAAATGATAAAACCACTCCACAGGGTTGACATCCATGGTTTCTGCCCTAATCAAGACAATATCATCCAACATTAAAAAGATTTGCAAAGGAATGTTCACAAAGAAATTGGCAAACCCAATAAAGAAGAAAGAGAAAAGTGAAAATAAAGAGCCGAAACCGACCACTGATGTGCCAGTGCACAATCCAAATCTCTCTGCTACGCTGAAGACAACAGTTAAAAAGATTTCCAAATGCTCTTCGGCACGTAACATATCACTGGAGGACGACGACGGAAAGAACGACTGCTCGTCTCTGTCACCGACTTTCAGTTATCGTGTTGCTATAGCCAACGGACTCCCCAAAAACTCCCTTCTTTTGAATAACAATGAATGCGTCTTACCTGATGTTCTTTCAAGTGACAGTAATTTCTCTGACCCTTTAAGTGAAACCAAGCCTGTTCGGAGACTGCATGAGCATAAATCACACACGATGCCTGTGAGACGAAACAGGAAGAGCCTCATCAGTTTGGCTCCCTCTGATGGAAGTTCTGAAGGCGAGCGGGTGGAACGCTCTAGTCTTCACACTCTTAGGCTGGGTGCTCTTCGCAAGCTACGAAAATGGAAAAAAAGTCAGGAATGTGTCTCCTCAGACTCCGAGGTCAGCAACTGGAGAAAAACCTTGGGGATCCGGAGCAAGTCCTTGGACCGCGCTGGACGACAGCAAAAGAGTTCAACCCTGGAGCCCGGCTCCTCCTCCACAGGGTGCATCAGCCAAACACAGGATGTGATGGAGATGATTTTCAAGGAGCTCCAGGGGATCAGCCAGATAGAGACAGAATTGTCTGAGCTGCGTGGTCATGTCAACGCCCTGAAAAGCTCCATCGATGAGATCTCCAGTAGTGTGGAGGTAGTTCAGAGTGAGATTGAACAGCTGCGCTCCGGATTTGTCCAGTCCAGAAGAGAGACACGTGACATTCATGACTATATAAAGCAGATTAGCAGTCAGGCCAATAACTCCACCTTAAGGTTTCTTAATGTCCCTGAAGAAAGGTCAGAAAGAACAGAAAGTGTCATATATAAAATGTTAAAAGATAAAATGGGTTTCATTGATGCTCGCAAAACCATTAAAATCGAACTTGCTCACAGGCTAGGTCAACAAAGAGAATGTTCGAATGCAAAACCGCGCCCAATTATTGTAATATTTGCAACAACCCAAGATCGAGACGTTGTCTTAAAAAAATGTTATAAACTTAAAGGGACAGGCATCACAGTCTCGACTGACAGCTTAACTCCTGAAGGAAAAGAGAGAAAAGAAAAAGCGATGTCTTCTTCACAGACATATGAGAGCATGGACCTGAAGGTGTCAGGAAAAGACAAAGTGGTAGAGAGTGATGACTGGGACTCCATGGACAGCGATAAAGAATTGGATGAATTAAGCAGGAACAAATATGCAATGGTCATTTCTAAGCCTGTTCACAAGAGTAAATCAGAGAAGAGGCGCTCACATGACCATAGTCATTCAGTAGATGAAGCCAGTTATTCAGCAGCTGTTCACTATGCTGACGACGCATACTATGATCCGGACAAGCATAGTAAAGCGTACTATTCTGACTTGACCCCCGGCTGGCTTTCGCAGAGTGACTATTCCACCCCTAAACTCAGTCGATCAGAGTCGGACTGCTCCAAACTCTGCCAGTCTTACTCTGAAGACTTTTCAGAGAGCCAGTATTTCACGAGGGCGAACGGAGGCTCTTTGCTGTCGTCCTCTGATCAGGAACTGTGGCAGAGAAAACAGGAAGACATGGCTTCTTCTTGGTATGCAAGCACAGGCCATCCACCTACTGATGAAAACCAAACCTTTGAACCCAATGAGATTGAAACAACAGAAACCATTGACAGCGGGGTGAGTAATGGACTCGTAAGCATGTCTCGTGATAGAAGCCACTACAGTGGCTCACAGCTTTCTCTACAAGGTGACCTGTCACCCTGGAAGGATTGGCATCATTTGGAGCAGGGTGCAGACTCCGGCGTAGAAGCTTCTATTGAGGTCAGCAGTCCGTTTGACCCTTCAACAATTCCAGGTTTTCCTGAGAACATTACTAAATGCCAGGAGGTTGATTTACAATTTGAGGGAGATGAAGAATTCATGATGCTTGACAGAGATTCTTCTCTACCACCTGTTACTACCCATATCATCCCTCACATCACAGAAAGGGAATCTGCCAGAACTTCTACTCGTCAGTCTAAAGAAGGAAGTAAGATGATCACAAAAGAAACTGCTAAATTATTAGCTAAAGATGCCGCTAAAGTTGCAAATAAGCTAACACACAAACACACAAAACTGGCAAAAGAAGAAAACAACAAAGTGTCACCCGTGGAAAGTTCAAAGGTGACTGATAGGGTTACAGCTAGAGGTACGACTAAAGCAGTCCCCAAAGAGACGTCAAATGAAACAAAAAAATCAGCCGCTAAAGAACCTTTACAAACACGTGTTAGCAGTGCTAGCATACCAAGTAAAGATGCAGCAAGGACCACAGTTAAAGGGGTCTCTAGAGTCACGTCTAAGGTCCCTTCTACTGAGACTGTGAAAGCCACTCATAAAACAACTCCAAAAGACAGCCCTGCAGTAACTCCTAAAGACAGTCCTAAAGAGTCCCCCAAAGACAGTCCAAAAATAACTCCAATCGAGAGCCCGGCTTCGACCCCTAAAGAGTCCCCCAAAGATTCTCCTAAAGAGTCACCCAACGTTATTTCAAAGGAAATACCAAAAGTTGCATCTAGAGAAGGTTTAAAAGTCTCTGCTAAAGAAGTCACGAAAGAATCTGTAAAACAACCCCCCAAAGAAGCCCCCAAAGCTGCCCCAAAGGTGGTACCCAATGAGACCAGTAAAATACCCTCAAAAGAAGTTTCTAAAGGTCAACCTCAAGAACTACCACAGGTGATTCCCAAAGAGAATAATAAAGTGTTCCAGAAAGACGCTCCCAAAGCTGCCCCAACAGAAGCCCCCAGGGTAATTCCTAAAGAGATCTCCAAAGAGACGTCTAAAGTAACACCCATAGATAAATTCCCTGAACTAGACGTAAATCATAGTTTTCACCAGAACCAGAACAAATCTTCAGCCATGTACCGCAGTCAGAGTGAGATCAGGGTGGAGAAGGTTGAAGAAGTTCCAAAGTCTTGGAGCAGTAGGCTTAGCATAGACCTTAGTGAAAAGTCCTTTGGTTTTGGCTTTGGTTCTACCCTTCAGAGGGCAAAGTCAGCTCTAGAAGTTGTTTGGAAAACAGGCGCTCAGGGAACACCTGCTCCTCCAGAAGAGCCACCCAACCCCCCTTCATCATTTATGGGACGGTTCCGCACCCTGTCCACCTCCACTGCAAATACGACAGGCTCTACAGTCGAATCAGACACTCACAGAGAGCCCGTCCTCAACAAGGCAGAGCAAGAAAAAACAGAGGTAAAAGCCGACCCTGGGGAGCCCCCAGTGGACAATGAGACCCACTACGTGGAAGTTATGGAACAAGTGTTAGCTAACTTGGAGAACAGAACTAATCCGAGCGACACTGATGAAACAATGGAGGGTACACAGCAGTCTTCTCAGGACTACAATGTTTCTGATGACATTGAAGCTTCACAAGACCAAGGCACACAGAACTTTGAAGCTTCTCCAAATTTTGAAGCTACTGATGAATATGTGGAAGATGAAGAGGGATGTGTTTTGGAGTACGATTGCAGTTTGGACGATCAGTACGATGAAGAGTACGTTGACGAATACGAGCCCCACCCAACAGAGGGCGCCACCGACTATGATGCGATGGTGGAGTACGTAGATGTAGAAGAACCAGATGAGACAGAGGACAATATAACGGAGGAGTATGAAGAGGGAGATGAGGAGTTAGACGAGATAGACGAGATAGTGGAGGAGGTTGTTGAGCCTTCTGAAAAAGTAGAGCCACAGCAGGAAGACGAAAACAAAAATGTTGCAGAAGAGAAGCCAGCGGAGGCTCCACCGAAGAAGAGACTGCGACCTACATTCAAGGAGGCAGCACTTCGGGCCTACAGAAAACAGATGGCTGAACTGGAGCAGCAGATCTTGGCTGGAGGTATGGCTGCTCTTGTTTTGTAATCACATCCCATAATACAACAAACTGACTTGTTCTGTATGATCATCTAAATTGTTAGACATTGACTTTATTATGATGTTGAGAAGCTTCAAGGTTCTTTCCTGATGCAGACGACTGTTTCACACTTTCAACAAAATAATTTAGTTTATATTTGAGTTTAAAAACTTTTCTCCTAATGCAGCAGAATATTTCTATGGGTTTTACTTTTCGGACGGTTTAAATTATTTGACGTGTTTATAAATATGTAGACTGACACATTCAAAAGTAGCTCTGAGAAAAAGTAAGGCAGGGATTTTCTCCTGCTACTTAAAATAGGCCCCTGACCTACATATGTAGCTGCCATAGTATGGACTTATCATCAGGAAGACACTGAGGTTTAGGGAATTCAAAACTCTCAGGCTGTGCCTGGTTAATCAGAAATATGTTGGAAAGAATAAAAGTTGATAATTAACAGGTTCTCAGTCAGGTCTGTTTGCACATCATGTATATCTGATCAACAAAAAGTGCCAGGAAAAAACAAAACAATGTTTCAAACAATATTCAACCTTTGTGACGTCAAAATTGAAATGCAAAAATCAAAATTTTGATCTTATTTTATTTTTAATCTTTTTAATTTGGGCAGTAATTCATTAACTCTTGTTTTTGTCACGTTGACTGTTTCTTTGATTTTGTCAGATGTCGGTAGCCATCTTGGTATTTCGTTGCAGATGTTGGGCAGTAATTCATTAACTCTTGGTTTTGTCACGTTGACTGTTTCTTTGATTGTTTTACTATTGGTGTGTCGTTATGTCAGAGTGCATGATGGGAACTCAGTGGTTGTCACTATGATTTATCACAGGTTGGTCTGGTTTGAAAAAGTCTGTAGACTTGGATTATTATTGAGGATTACTGGGACGTCTGAGTCCAGCAGCAGAGAGCTGCACTGAACCTGACAGTGTTAACCAGACTGGGACGTGTGAGTCCAGCAGCAGAGAGCTGCACTGACTCCACTGTACCACAGCACCCTCAGCACTGAGCTGTTGGAGCCAAGTCTAAAACCCTGCCGTCAAACCTAATGTGACAACCAGTGGGTGTTTACAGCTGCTTGAAATGAACCTGTGACATTCTCCCTGTAATTCCAAACTTTTTAACCTTTTCTACAAACATGTTGTTACAAACCGACGCTGATTTATCCCCTTTAACTGACAGACGCAGCACTGACACGTCCTTAAAAACATCTACAATATTTGTGTCGATCACAAATCCACATTTCAGGTTCTTTAAATCGCTGTAAAAGTGATTTTTAAAAAATACAGTTGCAGATTTAGTTAAGATAAAATTTCAACCTTAGGTTAAAGTAAAACCTCCTTAATTGTCATGTCAAAAATTATTTCATTCCATTTTGACTTTTCCTGCCTCTTCACAGCTTACGTGAATCTTTCATGCTCTCACATAAGTTTTCCCAGAGCACTTGTAAGAGAAAGAGAAACAAAAAAAAGCAGATAATAATAATAAGCAGCTCATCTTTAAGTAAAAGGACACAAACATGACAAAGAAAATGAAAGTGTCACTAAATGAGCTGTTTTATGTCTTCCTCCTCCCTCGTTAGCTTTATGCCTTCATCTCTTGCAGCTGATGTGTGTTAACTACACTCATGCTCTAAAGCTTGCTGACTGGTCGGGGGGGTTGGGTGNTCTCACTCTCTACTGCCAGGTCTTTCTTCCAATGGCTTCAGCAGTGTCTGTGTTCAGATGCTAGTTCACACTCCCAAGGGCGTTCTGTAACCAGGTCAGCCTTCACCAGAATATTTATAGAGGTCTGCTAGTGAAGTTTGCTGCTGCCTCCTGGGGGCGCAAAAGAGGTAAATAGTCTTAAGCTTGATGGCCTGTTTCTAAAGAATATATAAAAGTGTAAATGTGGACGTTGGGAGTGACTCTTCTGGGATTGTTCACAGTAATTTGTTCATTTCAGGATAGTTCTGCTGATGTGGTATCAAAAAGTCCTTTTTCTTCAGTTCTAATTAATACAACATGCAGTAAGAGCTTGGTATTCTGGACCAGTCTGGAGACCTGATGTTATCACAGTCCCAGAACAGGTTGACGGCTCAGTGTGTGCTCTGTGACAAGTGTGTTCTGACAACATCCTCTGAGATGTTTCCATGAAGATGTGGTGCCACGTGTTTCCAGAAGCACTGAGGATTATGTATAAAGTTGAACTCAGATTCCTCCTACTTTGTGCATTGATGCGTAGACTTTTGTACATACAGTGATACAGTATAAAGTTGATACATGGAAGAGTGGACTTCACAGTCGTTTGATTTACACTTATTAGATCAGATGAGCTTCAAACACTTATATACTTATATATATACATATACATATATAAGGCAGAAAAGGATTTTTGCTGTGTTCTATATGAACTAATGTCTCTGAGTGAGTTGACGTAGGGGTCAGTCCGGGTCATGGTATTTGTCAAGTGTAGGCTTTTCTGCCCCAGTGGCCTCTGATTTATGCCCCGTGTGACCATGTGTGTCGGCAGTGAAACTCAGGATTTACTGCTGCTGTTGTTCCTTCACACCATCACAGGCAGAAAAGGATTTTTTCTTCCACACACTTGGTGATTGTAAAATAATATTTCTAGTTTCTGGTCACGTTCTGCTCGTGTTCGTTTACTTTTTTTTCTATATTTCAATAACAAACACTAATCAGTTATTTTTTTATTTTAACATTTATTAATGCGAGCATCCAGTGATGTGTGTAGCGGTTACACAAACACAGTAAGAATTAGAAGTAGGTTTTCTGATAAGACTGGCAGCTGCTGCTCTTTCTTTAATTGGCTTAATTGTTTTGTATATAATTATGTTTATTGTTTTCTTTATTTATGAAATAAAAAAACACAAATGGTTTACTTTTTAATTACTTTACCAACTTCAAACAACCGTGTATTCAAGTAAAAACTGTACAGACTCAGAGCAGTTTTCTTGGATGTTCAGTAGAGGACCAGTGCTGAGTTGAAGGGAGCTGTCCATGGTACTTCACTGAGGAGCTGACCATGGTACTCACTTGGGCAAAGCTGCCTAGTGCTGAGTTGAAGCTGACCATGGCACTCACCTGGGCAGAGCTGTTCATGTTACTCACCTGAGAAGCTGTCCATGGTACCTCTCTGAGCAGAGCTGTCCATGGTACTTCACTGAGGAGCTGACCATGGTACTCACTTGGGCAAAGCTGTTCATGGTACTCATCTGAGAAGCTGTCCATGGTACCTCTCTGAGCAGAGCTGTCCATGGCACCTGACTGAGCAGAGCTGTCCATTGTCCTCGCATGGGCAGAGCTGTCCATGGTACTTCCCTGAGAAGCTGTCCATGTTACCTCTCTGAGCAGAGCTGTCCATGGTACTCATCTGAGAAGCTGTTCATGCTACCTCTCTGAGCAGAGCTGTCCATGGTGCTACACCGAGAAGCTGTCCATGGCACCTCACTTAGGAGCTGTCCATGGCTCTATACTGAGTAGAGCTGTCCATGGTGCTACACTGAGAAGTTGTCCATAGCACTTCACTGAGAAGCTGTCCATGGTACCTCACTTAGGAGCTGTCCATGGCTCTATACTGAGTAGAGCTGTCCATGGGACTTTGTTGGGGAGCTGTCCGTGGGACTACCTTGAGCAGCACTTGTCCTTGAGAGCGTGCAGATTTGTTTCTCTATATATTGTGTTACAACCTGGTGTCCACATGTTGGTGGTGAATGTTGGAAACTGTCTGAATATTTTCTTCTTTTTTTTTACATTTAAGTAAATTCTTATTGTAGTATTGTAATACTGACTGCTGTTGAAACCTACGTATTAAAACAAATTACTGGTGAAAATAGTCTAATGAAACAAACTGAAGAAAATTTTGTTTTTTAAATTTTTCTGTTCTGATGGGTTTTTTTTGTTCTGAATTCAAGTTGCTGTTCTGACCAGATCAGAAATTAGATTTTTCTTTTTAAACAGTTTTTTCTACGCACATTGGTTCATTAGTTATGATTGGTTATGATTGGTTAAGACGTTATCTATCACCCTGGGGTCAATAACACGGTGATTACACTCCCACAGTCTTGCTTATGTAGAGGACGGGCCGTTCCACAGTTCATCTTCAAAATGGCAATTTGATACTAAGCACTTACGCTCACCTAATGTCCCATGTCTCCACTGCTATCAGTGTTAACACAGGTGTTATTGATTAAAGGCATCTTTTTAAAACACACACACACACACACACACACCTTCTCGTTGCTGCATCGATTACTGATGTTTAATGATGGTCATATTTCATCCTTCAGCCAGGGTCCTGTTTTATTTCTAGGTCCTGAGGCTCATGTTGACTGTCATCAGGCAGTAACAGCAGATTAGTGTCTTCATTCTCCAAACCAGTGTGTTTTCTACTCAGCTGCTCTCCTCTAACGGCTCCTCCTGTTATTTTCTCATTCCAGACGCCAGTGCTTTGGATTCTCAGGTTTTAAGTCACTGTTTATCTGTTGTTGTTGTTGTTGTTGTTGTTGTTGTTGTTGTTGTTGTTGTTGTTGTAAACCCTAAAGTACGTCTGTGCCTTCCATGCATGTGCATGTTGCGGTGTATTTTTTTTGTGTTTGTGTGGCATCCACCCAAACGTTTGACTGTGAAGACGGATGGAAGTTTTACAGTATGTGTTGGTATCAAAGCAAACACAGCATGTGCCTCTGAGCCACCGCGCTGTCACTCTGTGTTAGTGGAGCTTTTATTCTTCTCTTGTCTCAGAAAATGATTTGTGCTTCAAACTTAACAGTTTGGTCAGTGAGGAGGGAGAATTGCACAATAGACAAATCTGGCCGGAAGCACTCGGAGCAGCAAACTCTCAGAACTGAGCCCACAAATTACATTGATGTGAAATAATTTGGTCCTTTGCCGGTGGTGTTTCCCTCCCTTCTCGCTGTGATGTATTTCTTCTCTCTTTTCATTTATCTTTATCCTGAACCGACCTCCAAATGTACTGTGCTGCTAGTACATTTTGGTAATTTTTGTGTTTTCGTTACTGCCGTGTGCTTTGTGTTAGGCTGCGGGCAATTACTCTGTGTTTCTTATCTTGATCTTTGTGTCTTTTCTCCTCGCAGCCTCGCAGTGTTTTGGATGCCAAAATGTCAGGCTTGCAGACTGGAGGGTGAGTGTGAGCGTGTGGCCAGATCTGATCTTTTCACAGCCAAACAAATCAGGACTGTTGTGATTTTAAACTACCGTGCTGAGAAAAGTCTACGTGTTTCCTGACATGTAGCTGCAATTATTGTTTACTGACACAAAACAAACACTGAATGGAACCCAATATCCTGAGCTCCTAGATGTGATCCATCACTTTATATTAAATGTTTATTAGCAGCTTATTATGACATAGTCTGAGCTAAAGTCGGACCAACTGTCTGATGGCAACAGAGCCATCTGTAGGCTGAGAAGTAGAAGAGGGGGAACCTGGGGTGAGGTGATGCAGCCCGGGGTGAGGCGATGGAGCCCGGGGTGAGGAGATGGTGCCCGGGGTGAGGCGATGGTGCCCGGGGTGAGGCGATGGACCCTGGGGTGAGAAGATGGAGCCCGGGGTGAGGAGATGGAGCCTGGGGTGAGGTGATGCAGCCCGGGGTGAGGCGATGGACCCTGGGGTGAGAAGATGGAGCCTGGGGCGAGGCGATGGAGCCCGGGGTGAGGGGATGGAGCCCGGGGTGAGGCGCAGGAGCCCGGGGTGAGGAGATGACCCCTGGGGTGAGGCGATGGCCTGGGCAGCCCCTCGTGTCCCCTCGTGTCGTCTGTCTTCAGGGTCATACAACTGCTGTCAGTGAGAGGGAAACAGAAAAGCTTGAACAGCTGTGTGTGTGTGGAGGCACAGTGGCCTCAGTGTCACACTGAGATCATTGGGGAGTCACTGAGTGACAGATAAGGAGGCAGCACAGAGAGAGAGAGAGAGAGAGCATCGTTTGAGACGAGAGAGGAAATACGGTGTAGTTTGAGCTCAGACTTCTTGATGCTCTGCTCTGTTTGTCCACACAAATGGAGTAGAGCATCCTGGGGCTGGAAGGCATTAAAAGTGGGTCAATTGTACAGTGATGGAGCCCTGGGAATTAAAAGGAGAGAGTGAGACAGGTTAGGTAAGAGGCCCGGTCCTTAGTGTTTACCACGGGTGTAAATCACCTCCACTCCCTCCTGCCTTTCTCTGGTGCGGTGTCTCCTGCAGCGTGACATTATTATGTTATTAATACACCTTAAATCTGTCTCCCTCTTCAGGGCTGGCAGTATTCTTTATGGTATTGACAGCATGCCAGATTTACGACGCAAGCGGACTGTTCCTCTTGTCCGAGACCTGGTGAGTTAGCCGCCTCCACCAGGTTATGTGTGAATTATGTCAACCAGGTTTCACTGGTGAAACGCTGCTCTGTGTGAGTATGAACCCTTTGCTAACCACAACGTGCAGTGTTGACTTTTACTAATGACAACCAGTCAACTAACCAGTTAGTTACTAACGTTGTACTTTGACCTGTTGTAGCCTGGTTCAGCCACTGTTATTGCTGTTATTGCTGTTAAAGTCAGTGACTAATGTACTAATTGGTGATAAAAGCAACCACCTATAAATCTGGATTTTTTTTTCTCCTGTGCAGCAGTGCCTTGTGGGAATGTAAAATATAACCTTAACTATAATGCAACTGCATGATTAACTGGCCTGTAGAGGGCGTTTAAGACGTTACATCACAACGATGTTCTGCCATTTGTTTTTTATCGACACATAATGTGTCCTAACATATTCCTCAGAGAGGATTAGAGCAGAGAGAACAGGCTGCTGGGATGATGCCTGTTTTTCTTACTGTCAGTCCATTGTGTTCCTGCAAAGTGTGTGTTTGTCTCGTGTGTGTTTGTTACTCATCTCTTTGTTTTTCAGAAAAAGTCAAAAATGCATATGATTAGATTAGAATTTAGAAAATTAAATAAAAAACAAACCCCGTACGACATGTTGAAACTGTTTCCTTTTCTACCAATGATAACGCAGCCTGATGTTAGACAGGTCACTGCTGATGATTGTACAGTTTACTTTATACCACAGTGAACAACATGAGTTGATGCTCTATTTGTCCATATCTCTTATGAAAATAATAACCAACAATGTCCTGGTAAGTATGGGATGTCGTTTCTAAACCTTTTCCTTGGGTTCTGCGTGTACACTTGCCATCCTAACACAGACCCATAACAACTATGGGTGATATTTTTCAGTGAGTTGTCAGATTTCACTTTTGCCAATGCTTTAGCCCTTTTGTTTTTCTCCCCCTTTTTCTCTGTTGCTTGGCAGGTGTCACAAATTTTCTTTGTAAAGAAAAAAAATAAAAACTTGAAATGTTGACAACTCCACCCAAAAATATATCCGAGAGACTTCATTGACTTCTGATTTAACTGTGTGAGGCTTTTAAATCATGTAAAAGTGAAACCTAGCCAGCCTTTTACACTGGGATGAAGTCACAAGTCGGCAACAAATTAGTCCCTTTTCATGCGTCTCCTTTTGTCAGTGTCCCACATTTGCTGTGTGATGCTTCAGGGCAGCAACAGCGTCTAATTGGATGGGACCAGGAAACAAACAAACAAACAAACAAACAAACAAACAAAACAAATGTTGAAAATCAGTCTACATGGCATTGAACCCTGTACTGTTACCTCAGAGATAGCATCTGGACAAGGGCTCATGATGTATTGCCTGCAGCAACCTCAGCAGTGCTGGTGCATGTGAAGGAACGTACATCCACAGCCACAGTTCATGTAGAGGTCACGTTTCCTCCTACATCCTCCATGGCTCCCATGGATCTTTACCATAGCTGGGCTGTCGAGGCGAGAGGGTGGTGGTAAAGACTGATCCGATATTGTCAGCTGTCCGTGTCTGCATTTCTGTGTCATGTGACTTCCTCCAGTCTGGGAGGGAAACAATATCTGGTCACCAACCAGACTCCAGAGAAATTAATACGACAGATAATTTACTCGTCCATCTGTGAGTCTGTAACCTACGTGTTTTGTGTTTGTGAGAGTCTCTGTGTGTGTCTGAGTGTGTGTGTGTGTGTGCACCACACTGTGTGTGTTCATGTAAGTCTGGGCAGGGTTGTGTGTGTGTGTGTGTGTGTTATGTCCGTTTCTAATTTGTTAAAAAAAAGTGCAGAGCAGACAGCAGAAAATACGATCAAAGCTTCATCCGACAGAGAAGTTAAAACAATGCCAAGCATGACTGCAGTTTATTAACCACCACTGCATGAGTGGATTTAAAAAAAAAAAAAAAATCATGCAACGGCTGCACAACCTGTGTTAAGGACTAGTTGAATCTTTCTAGAGCTCTGAGCCCTAACCAGCAGTCCTGCATGGCACCTCAGTCTGGGTTACAACCTCCTCAACTCTGTCTGCTCTTTGTGAACTTCAACAGTTTTCCTCCTCCTCACTAATTATATTTATTTTTTCATTCTCTACTCATTACCTCCTGGAAACCTCAGGCTTTGGTGAGTTGACTTCTGGGTCCATTTTCACTCCTTAATAAATGTTTTGTCTCCTACACAAAGCAGAAGAATTTCATTTTCATTTTTCTTTCTTCTCTCTCGTCTCAGACCCTCACTGCTCGAAAGGCAGGCATCTCGTTTGCTCTGGTGAACCGATCCACACTGAACAACGAGGACCTGGTGAGTTAGTCGTCCTGATTCTACTGCTGACATGTTTGAAGACTTCTTCAATCTCACTGCCTCCAGTTGACTCTGGGCTCTGAACAATATTCACCTCATGATGAGGTCTTTGTTACAACTCTTCTGTTGCAGAAGAACAGAAACAAGAAACAAGAAATATGAGTCAGATATAAAGGCCGTACGAGGATGCAATTACACATTTGATTTCAATTTTTATTTCTTTTTTTTTTTCATCCCCAGTTTTTTAACGAGGCGTTCTCTCTCAGCTCTCTCTCATGGACAACTTTCTCCTTTTATGTAAACAAGACTTTTTTTTTTTAGACTCCAGTTCCTCTGGTCAGACAGAGACTTTTGATTTGACCTCCAAACCTCTGTCTGCATCAATTGATTGCAATCCTTCCCTCCCATGGGGGGGTTGGGGGGTGGTTCAGCTGGAGGAAGCACTTTCTCAGTTCCACCAACAACTTCTGTTGAAGTGTGTGCAAAATAAGGGTCGGTTCTAAAAGACTGCACGTGAGGTCACGTGTACTGTACTGTACTGACCTGTACTGTACTGACCTGTACTGGACTGACCTGTACTGACCTGTACTGACCTGTACTGTGTACT